GGGAGGTGGCCAGCCAATGATTCTCTCTCATCATTGATGTTTCTATCTCTCTCTCTCCCTCTCCCTTTCTCTCTGAAATCAATAAAAATATATTTAAAAATTAAAAAATGCAAGTCTGCCATGGTCTTCTCCTACTCCAACCCTCAGGGATGCTGCACCCATCAAGCTAGCGTTCAAACACCTCCCTACTCAAGCCCAAGTCACCATCGACACAGAGTGGAGAGGGGCATCCGGGAGGGGTTCTGTCCCTTCTGAGCACGTTGTATGCAGTTGGGAGGGGGGGGGGGTCAGGCAGACTGCGGAGGGAGTAGATACGAACTAGGTTCTGCAGCAGCAGCCCCTGGGCTGGGGCTAGCCTGGTGACTCCTTCCTCTCACACCTGTGACTCTCCTGGCCCCAGTGACTTCCAAGTGTCCCGGGCAGCTTCCTCCTCTCTGTTCCCTTCCGGAGCGCGCCCTGTGTGTGCAGCTCTGACACAGCGATCACACGGTCTGGAACTCCCTAGTCACAGGACAGGGATAGAAACTGCAAGCTGGGCCTCGGCTCTCACCCTAGCAGGCCTTCCTCCTCCGATGCCCCCACCTCCAGGAAGGCCCGTCTAGGGGCAGCATCCTGAAGACCAAGATGAAGTAAGTGAAAATGAGACAATGGAACCATCTCAACCTCAAAATTTGCCCGAAGAATTTCCCTGTGTGGCCATGGGGCAAGATGTCTGTCTCCTCAGGTCTCCCCGCAGGTTTCCTGGGCTCACCATGTTCCCTTCACCAGACCAGAGCTGTTTCTCCTCCCTGGTCCTCACTCTTTCTTTCTCTCTGTCACCTCACTAGACACTTGCCTTTTCCAAGAATTCTTCCAAGACTGGGAAGGGCATTGGTAATATGGTGGTAAAAGTGTGAGCTCTGGAGTCAGACCTGGACTGTTGTCTTAGCCCCGCTCCTCACTGGCTGAGTGACGCAGACCGGTGACATAATCTCTGACTTTCCATCTGTAAAACCCTGATGATGATGCCAAGCTTGCAGGGTGGTCATAAGGATTAAGTGAGACAATGCTGGTGCATTAGTCAGGGCAGTTAGCACTAGCTGCCGTAACAACAAGTCCAGAATCTAGACCAGGAGTGGGCAAACTTTTTGACTCGAGGGCCACAATGGGTTCTTAAACTGGACCGGAGGGCCGGAACAAAAGCATGGATGGAGTGTTTGTGTGAACTAATATAAATTCAAAGTAAACATCATTACATAAAAGGGTACGGTCTTTTTTTTCAATAGTTTTATTCATTTCAAACGGGCTGGATCCGGCCCACGGGCCATAGTTTGCCCACGGCTGAATTCTAGATACAAGAGTTCACTCCTCACTCAGGTCACAGGCTGACATGGTGTGGGTGCCTTTCCTGCATGCTCCCTCCAGGAGGTGATTCGGGGACCCGAGCTCTTTTCTTCCCCTTCGGGTCCTCTACTGGGCCCTTCCACCTGGTGGACAGAATAGCAAAGACAAAGAGACCAGACCAGGAAGTGGTACCCCTTAATTTCACTTCCTCTTGGTTAAAACCCAGTCATTTATCCAATGTAATTGCAGGAGAAGCTAGGAAACTTGGCGCCCTGTGCACCCAAGAAGAGGAAGTGAGGTTGCTAAGCCTCTAGCTGGTCTCTGCTACATAATTTAGTGTTTAGGGTCCTACTGGACACACAGTAAGAGCTCAGTCAACAAAATATACTATTATAATTATTTCCTATGATCTGTCCTGATACTGGTATGAATATACCAGATAGCCAGAGCCAGAGGGTAGACTTTCCACTGATAATGAATAGCTGACACAAGCCAAAACGGAATTGGCAAAACAAGACATGGCACTGTGTCTGACGTAACTCCTGCTGGGGAGGCCTCCCAGGAGGCGGCAGGACACACTGAAATTGCCCACATTCAGCTGCTGGCTCTGCTCTGAGCAAAACATGAACCCATGTCAGCCAGGGGGTGCTCTCGTCTTAACACAGTAATGCTAGCCTACCCACTCTCCAGAGATCTTCAAAACGCCATGTTCCCTCGGCTCCAAGCACCCGTTTCCTGCTGTCGGAGCACCCTCCCCTCCTGCTCTTCTCTAGTGCCCCCTCCTCAGCCCTCAGGTCCCAGCGCGGAAGGTCACCTCTCGGTCCTCCACCCCCAGTGGCCGAGCGCTTGTCCCTGTGCCCCACAGTAGCCTCTACTTCCCTCCCCAGAGCGCTCAGCACAACATTAAGTCTCCGCTCACCTCTGCCCCTCGCTAGAGTGTCCATCGCTCGGGGCAGGGCCTTGCTCGTATCATCATTTTGTCGCAGCCCCGCAGCAGGGTCTAGCTCATCATGAGTGGGCCGCGATATTTGGCATGTGAGTGAGTGAAGAATGGCTGTGGCAATCCTTTTTCAAAATGATAATGGGGTGCAACTTTAAACTATTACAGCTCAACAGTAAAAACCAAAAGTTAAGACAAGTTCAGAAAGAAACAGTACAGTGTATTCCTTCAAAAGGT